TTGCGTATCAAATATGCTGCAGTAGCTTGATCTGGTGTTGTTCTCAGGTGTTGTCGGATGAGAGGAGGGGTGCGGAGCTGGATTACTGTAAGATGTTCGGAGCGGCGTGGCTAAAGGCCGGAGGTCACAGTGACCCGGAGAAGAACCAGCCCAACACAGACTTCATGAGCGAACACCCACGATTCCTCGCGCTCCTCCAGAGTGAGTCCAGCGCTGCGCTTTCTACTCTGAGCTGTGAAGCTCCGCCCACAGAGGAAGCTCATTGGTTCCGCTCATTTGAATATTAAACATCTGATCTGATCTCATTGGCTGGTCACGGCTTTCTGACGGTTTGTTTGTTTGTTTGTTCAGAGTACGGCGCTCCAGACGAGGGCGAGCTGAGAGAACAGAAGCCATTTGCTCTAAAAAATCAGTTATTAAGTAGGAATCTTCCGTCATCTTCACATCAATACAGAGCGTTAAAACCATCGCCGCATGAAGGTCTCTCAACGTCTCTGCTTTCATTTCAGCCGTAACGTTCGTCTGTCCGGAGGATTCGGAGAGGAAGCCCATAGAGAAGAAGCTGCCAGGTAAAAGCGTGCATTAGAAACGCTGACGAGTCACACGTGTGACGGATGTTTGAGGTGTTTTCTGCTGTTTTCAGGCTCGATGATCGTTCAGAAGGTGAAGGGGCTTTTACATCGGCTGCTTAAATTACCAGGAATGGAGTTAAAGCTCAGCTACACCTGCTCGAAGGTAAAACTCATTCTTCATTCCCATTCATTTTTCACTTCCTACACTTACTGTATTTTTTATTTCTTACGATCCTTATGATAAACTTGGCTTGATTAATATATGTGACCAGTGTTAAGTCGCTGGGGTATATTTGTAGCAATAGCCAACAATACATTGTATGGGTCAAAATTATCCATTTTTCTTTTATGCCAAAAATCATTAGGATATTAAGTAAAGATCATGTTCCATGAAGATATTTTGTAAACTTCCTACCGTAAATATATCAAAACTTAATTTTTGATTAGTAATATGCATTGCTAAGAACTTCATTTGAACAACTTTAAAGATGATTTTCTCAATATTTTGATTTTTTTGCACCCTCAGATTCCAGATTTTCAAATAGTTGTATCTCAGCCAAATATTGTCCGATCCTAACAAACCATACATCAATGGAAAGCTTATTTATTCAGCTTTCAGATGATGTATACATCTCAATTTCGAGCAATTTACACTTATGACTGGTTTTGTGCTCCAGGGTCACACATTTGAAATACTATTAGTTTTTGTTAATATTTTAAATTAGATTTTATAATTATTTTTTCGGTTTTCACTTTAATTTTAATTCGTTTTTTTTTTTTTGTGTGTTCTGTCATTTTTTTACATGTCTATATAGTTTTTATTAATTTATTTAATTTATTAGTTTTAGTTCACTTAGTTTTAATTGTTTTAGTACTTCAAGTTAAACTAAACGAAAATGAGAAATGAAAGTAGCTGAAATAAAATAAGTTTTTTTTTTGTATCTTATTTTATTTAAAGTTTCTTGTCAAGTAACAAAAAATATTTTCTTTATGGTTTTAGTTTTGGTTGTTCATTTGAGTTAGTTTTAGTAATTTTGTGATGTGTTTTTGTCATTTTTATTAGTTTTATATATATGTGTGTGTGTGTGTGTATAATTTTTATTAATTTTTATGTATTAGTTTTAGTTTAGTTTATTTTTTTAGTACCTGAAGTTGCGCTAATGGAAAATGAGAAATGAAATAAAGAAGCTGGAATAAAATAAGTTACACACACACACACAC